TGTAAGAATCTAATCTAATCTAAATACATAAATGAAATAAGGTTAGATTGGAAAGTGCCCATAAGAACAATCTGGACAATATAAATATTATTTGGCGCTATTCTTAAACGGTCGCTCTCCAAAGCTTGTGATAATTCCGAAGCGGTTCGGCTTTTTCCGGAATTATGTCGCGAAATATTATTTATTCAAATATATTATTATTTTCTTTTAATTTTTTAAATAAAATACAGTGTGTTGCATATAAGAAACTTTATTTTATACCATAAGGACATGTATGAAATACCTATGAAATATTGGAAACCGACGTTATGCCACGATCAACGATGGTTTTTGCAGTTCACAGTTCACACAGCTTTTTAAGTTTTTAATGCCACTCTTCCACAATTATCACGGGTTTGAGTAAATAAAGATAGTAATTATTTTGAAAATGAACTCTTTAAACAGTAATTTGTTGTGCTATCTACAATATTATGTTAGAGTATCTATACGATTAGCGTCCCCCAAATGCATTTTTGTAATTTTAAACTTGTTGGTATAAGGCAAAGCCTAACGTAAAATACAATTTGACATCCACAAAATCGTAGGTTGACTATTTAGTATTTAGGAATGTTGGCATTTGCCTGGTGTTGCATTGTTACCTATTCTCAAATTTGGCATGTGTATTCAGCAAACGCAGACCTTTAAAAAACCTCTTTACGACTAAGCTGTAAAATCAACAGGGGACCCAATATTTAGACAGATCAAAATTTTCATGCGATTTCATATGTTTCCAATTAAATTACCATTTAGTTTGTTTTACATCTTTGATGTTTTATTCCGCAAATTCTATAAAAAATGTTTAACAATAAAGTTTCATTCAGAACCTCGCAATTAGTGGTTTCAATTACACATTCTACTTTTTAGTTCATGATCATTCACAATATCTAAAAAGCACAATTAAAATTAATAGAATATCTTACACAAGTAACTAACGCAAGAGCTTGCGTTAGTTACTTGTGTCCATAGAGAAAGCCTAATAATTAGGCTATAAATCAACTTTTGATTTCTAACCACAATTTCTCTTGACGGAAGATAATCAAAGGCCAAATTGACATTTCTCGCAAATTTTGAAGTATAATTAGCGGAAAAGTTAAAAGTTTGATAACTTTTTCTACTAATTGAAAATGTCTACCACTAACTTTTTGAATGCTTACATTAAAATTAAAGGAACAAACTTCTGCGCAAATTAAAACCACTAATTTATTCCACTAATTGCGAGGTTCTGAATGAAGCTTTACTCAATACGGTTCTGTCCTTAAAATCTAAAAAAAATCAAATCTGATCGTACCAAACGGTGGTTAAGACGACTGCGGCAGGTCCGTAAAGGATTTTTAATAGTCCGTCCGGCTCTTTAAACGCGGAAATTTACGGCCTAATAGCTCGGCCGCTCGTAATTTGAATAAACGATTCTAAGACAAGCGCGCGGCGAGCATTAATTTTCCAGTTTTCGGAACGTCAAAATAAATAAGCGCGCGGCAACAAACAGAAGCGCCGCAAAGCGAGAGAAGAACTAGCGAGATTTACGAGGTACGCCGGCCCGTGGTCCGTTGGTACCGGTACGCAGATACCGGCTATTTTAGACTGACCTTAGCGGTAATTGTTTATATCGTAAAAAGATCCAGTGTATAAAATTCGAGAAAATAACCTTATTTTATTAATTAAAATCTGGATTAAATCATCGAACAATTTGATGGTTTCATAATTTTACATTGTCACCGAAATAGCTATTTCTTTAACAAGTTGCGAAATGAATGTTTTTTAAGCACGGGACGCAAAATTGTCCAAAGAGACGAAAGCCGAATTGGACAATGCGTCGAGTGCTTAAAACACTCTTTTCACAACGAATTTCATACAAGATTTTTTGTGAAAGCAGATAAATGGAGATTTTCATGCTATTATTATTATTTATTTTTAAACATTTTTTAAAATGTTCTGGTAATCGTTTTCTAAGGCATTGTTTATGCATAGTTTAATGACAAAGTTCTGTCAGGTTCAAACGTCGCCGTATTTCCTACAAAGTTTTGTGAAAAAATGAGTGATAATGGATTTTGGTGTAGTGTCTTTGGATATTCAACAAATTGCTAAAACTGCGCTATCCACGCCCGTGAAGTCAAAAAACTTATACGAGACTTTGAAACCTGGATCAAAGAAAAACATGTGTAAAATCGCTATTTTTGGGGCTTACTCAACCGGGTCTCACAATGGAAATTCACCTCAAATATCCATTTAGTTGGTTATTGGCAAGCACTCTCTCATTGTACATGAAAATAACAAAACACACATTTACTGATCTGGATAAAATTGATAGTTAAATAGTAAGACTCACCCGGGCCACTAGCCACTGACATCACTGACATTCTATTCAATATATCACATTCCATATCTTCCATCTAATTGAAATATTCGGATCTATTGGTTAATAATCCTTAACAACTAGCTAGTGTCACCTGAAATAGTATAGGGGCTTCCCCCGGACGCAACTCTGCCGGTAAACAGATTCGCATCCCAATCGAATAGACTAATTGGGGTACCTCACTAGTCTCACTACCCCAACGCCGCATCGTGTCAATCGAGAAGACAAGGGAGACCTCAAACTCTCAAGACCAACCTCGAAGGCAAGACGTCACAAGACGTCAAGCGTACATGCAGCGTTTATAGTCAAAAGACTTTCAACCCCCAAATATCAGCTCTATGACAAAACACAACACAACAGCCGGCCGGCCTATCAACTACTGACTCTCCTCCAGCAAGCTAAGCCTCCTCTTATATCACAATTTTACCGGATCGTAAATATTTACATTACTTGCCAATGAATCATACTATTTTCTCTAATCGACTTTCAAATAGAGTGTTTTAGCATTACTAGATAAATAAATAGAGAGTTTCCGAATTATAAAACCATTATTATAACCAACTTATTTTCCAAGTTTTACACATGTTGAGAATTTTACAGAAAAGGTATTGCTAGCCTATTTACTTATTTCGACTCCTACAACTTGCATTTCTCTTAGAGACGAAAAGTTGGATGCCTCTTATATTCACTTTAATAATTTAAATAAATTTACCTTTCAGATTTATAATAAATAAATATTTTCATTGTTCCTAACGTTTCATTTTTTACTTTTAGGCACTAGTGCCTAAACAAGTGTCACTTTTAGATACCTAAGTACTAGTGACAAAAAAATGTCATTTCGAATCTCAGATAAATATCAAAAACTGTCAATTTCGAAACGCTTTCACAAAAAATGGGTTTCTATTATGTATTAATGATAATATTTTGTGTGTTTATGTCATTATATTCAGAGTGTCATTTTCTATCGAATAAAGTAAAAAAATACCGAGGGTGTCATTTAAAAGTCAAAGTTGTAATCATTTCCGGTGAAACAGGAAGTGGCCCAAAAGAATTGAATACGGGAATCAATCCCAATTTATGTCATATACTAACATATCAAATCTCGTTTTTTTTTATTTGAAAAAAATATAAAAGTTATAGTGGTGAGCCACTTTTAAGACGCACCCGGTATAGCATTATCTAAAGATTAATCATATTATTAATCATTAATATTAATATTTCATATTTGAAACCCTCAATATATGTAAAATGGTTCAAAATTGCAAGGTTTATTAGATTTAAACAAAAACGTGACCCTTTTTATCAATAAATATTTTAGAAGTTTACGATGCTTATCCATTTATATAAACGAGTAGCTAATGATAACGGAATTATTAACCTAATTTTAAATAATATTGAATTAAGGTATTTATGTATAATTGTTTAAAGTACATATACACTTGAATTATAGTTGGAAACTAGCATACCCATGTCTCTGCACCGAAGTTCCAATAAAATACCCTATACCGGTGTGTCCTATTAGAATGCACATTATATTACTTCTAGTTTACACGTTTTTCAGTAGTGTCCATTCGCATATGGAATACCTCGTATACGTATAAAGAGCCAGAGAGAGAGAGAGAGAGAACCTCTCACCTCTGCTCCGACAAAGAGAGAAAAAATCAGCCTGGAGAGCCGTCCAACACCGGGAGGCAAGCAGATATGTATCACCAGCTTTGCCAGAAGTCCAGTGTAAGAACATCGAGCTGACAAGTCATCAACTCGAGAGAGAAGGACTATGGCCAGGTCTTCACAATAGGAATCAAATCTAAGGAGGCAATAGAGAAAGAGAGTATATCCTCTATTATAGATTCGGGATAACACCGGTATATAAGAAGTGGCCAAGTTAAAGAGGTGGAGAAAATGGAGACAGATCCTCCAGCATCCACCTCACGGGTACCTTAGCTGGAGACAAGCTTCCTGACTGCGAAGGGCACGGAGGGCCAAACCCCAACCGTAGGAGGGTATTTATCCTCGGAGGAAGAACATCTGTTGTCAGAGGAGGATGGGAGATATCCTGTCCCCCAACAACAGGAAATCTTCAAATATGATGGCTTATAGACTAGATATTGGAGATGGAGAACTACCCTCTATAAAACCGTCCCAGATACTGGCTTTTGTCAAAGCCCTGGGACTGTATGATGAGTTATGATTCAAGAAAGAGGAACACAATAGATCTCTAAGGTCGCGGTGATTAACCCCCCTCCCACTCATTCTTCAATCTACATACACTGTTCTAATCATTAAGTCTTAGTCTACTAAGCGGTTTGGTACAACTTTCAATTTAAAAATTATTGTATATAACAAGTTATAGAAGTCCGATGATGATATCTCTTCAGAATTGATTTTTACAAAGTTGCTGAACCATCAGTGGCTGACGACTGCGTTTGGAATTCGCGTACACAGACAGTTGTGCTGTCATTTTAATTCACTCGCAAATTATATTTTCTGTCATTTTTTGGATATCATCTGTTGAAATCTTCCCTGATTCGTTGGGCAGACTATAGTAACTTAATTATTTTAAATATTATTATAAATATTTTAAGAACATCTATGATTTTGATTCCAGATCCTCAACAAGGTGTTGAAGATGACGATTCCCAAGATGCGGCCAGTTCCAGGGCACAGTACGTTTCGGCGAATTGTGTCGTCTTTACCCATTATCAGGGAGACGCGGCATCTGTGGTGGATGAACACTTTAACAGGGCCTTAGATAAATCGGCAACGCATACTAAAGGTACGTTTACCAATAGTCTAAATGAAGCTTAATCTTTCACATTAAAATATAGTACTAATAATAATTATTTTGAATCATTAATAATAGATAACTTACTATTAAAGAAATACTAATTATTATTCAAAACCCTGAAATTATTATTCAAGTAATGCTGAGTATGTAATTTAATGACTCTAATTTTTACTTCTAGATACTATTATATAAAAGCTTTAGAGTATTAATAATTATTACTTAATCAACTTTAGTTGTTCTTATAACGGAGAAAAACTCTCGAAAACGAATAAAAAATATATAACTAAACATTTACCACTAACAAATTTGTTGTTTTTAATCTTTCATCTACTAGAAATTACTAAAGAGTCTTCTATTTTTAACTGGAAACTTAAAATTTTATTTATTCTGTAATAATTTTAATAGCACTTTATAATTACTTGAGATTTTATCTGTTTTTTTTGTTAATTTTTAACGAACTAAACGAGCTGGCCACAACCACGACCCAAGTCGCATTCAAACAATTTGCATGTTTTTTACCTTGACAGATTTATACCTTGTATCCGCGACAGTATAATATTTAGATAAATAAACATATTATTTGAGAGTTTCTGACAAGCCTTGAACACATTTATCTTATCGTATATGTGCCATGTATTGCTGTTGAGGTGGTATTAAAAAAATACAACAAAATTAAAGTGAAAAAAAATTTCAAGAATATTATTTATAACATTAAATTTATGTTATTGATGATTAAAAAAACTAATTAATATGTGTAATTTTGATAAAACATCCCAGTCAAGACTGGTTTGTGGATGCTTAGATGAATTACAACTATACTGACGGATTTGTTTTGAAAGTATTATCCCGGGTTAGCCAAAAGTCTGGATTCGGCTAAATATCTCAAAGACCGGTATGGGATATACTGATAATCCAGTAATCAAAAATCGTGTTCTACGGTGTTGTCAGACGTAGCGTTTTTCCAATAACTTGGTAAATATTACTTTTTTAAATGAAATGCCATTAATTTTCTCCTGTATGCTTTCGGTTATCGGGTTCTCACCTATCAGTTGCACTGCAAGCAGTCTGACTGATTCAATATTACTGAACATTAGATCAGTATATTAATGTATCTTATTATATTAATCCTTCTGACCGAAACGTTGTGTTAATAAAAATAAATAAAGACAATGGAAGTCCGAAATCCTTTTAATTTCCAGTTTTCTAGTTACGCTTTTGTTCATTTTGGCTGAACAGAAGAAGAATAAAGACTGATTGAAGATAAACTGTGTGTGAACGTATTTTTATCGTGTAATTTTCCAAGTTTTGCGGATGTATTGAAATAATTAACTTCTAAAAGTAATTGTTTCAATATAATTTCAATACAGTTGAGGGTTGGAACTTTTGGTGTTAAAACAGTAAAATAAAATTGTGGCCAAAATGATAGCGCTGCAATCTCGTATGCACAAGGTTGTTGGTTCGAATCCAGCTCTGGGCATGAGTGTTTAATGTGTGTATGAATCTGTGTTTGTCTTAATTTCGTCATCATCATTCTTAGCTTGTTCAACCATTTCCGATTATGATGTAGCCTTCCTCACATATTTAGATACTCTCTTTGTAGTTGGGCCCATTGCTGTTTATTGATGGTTATGTGGGTCCAAGTTATCCCTGCTAATTTTTAATATCATGGTTCCATCTCAGGTTCGGTCTTCCTTTAGGTCTCTTAATTCCTCGTGGGTACCATGCTTTAATTTTTGTGGTCCATCTGTTGTCCTTCCTTCTTACCAGGTGTCCTGTCCATTGCCATTTGAAGGATTTGGCTTTGTGGATGGCATCTATTACCTGGGTCTTTTGTCGTATCCACTCTATTTTTACGGTCTCTTTTGGTTATTCCTAGCATATTTCGTTCCATTGAGCATTGTGCGACCTGAAGTTTCCTTTAGTTGTCTTAATTTCAAAAATAGATTGGATAAATGGTTGAAAGTCGTGAAAAAACACATAAAAATAAAACACTATAATTTACCACAATACGCCAAAATACTTAGTTTAAAAACTAGTTTTAATCATCTGCTGATGATGCTAAAACGGTTACCAAAACGCTCGTCCAGTGCAAAAGTAATGTGTTTTAGTGCATTATGGTGAATTAGTGTTTTATTTTGCTATAGTTTCAGTAGCTATTTATTTGTGCGTAATATCCACTGCCTGGCCCACCATCTACGACATTTTCGTCGTTTTTGATACATCGGAATATTTCGTAACTCATATATTATGCTAATTGCAAACCCAACTTCTCAAAAATCTGGTTTTAATTTTGTACATATTTCATGTTTACGTGATCAGTGAAAGATGTGAATCACTGAATCATAACACTGACATGGACACAATGTTATACAGATTGGGAGGAAAAATTTACCATCTAACAAAAGTCAGTTTCAGTCAAAAATAAATATAAGCATGTTTTGAAGTTTCGACTTAATATAAATAACAATATACCCACCTCGAATATTAACTAACACACTAATTCTTATTAATACTCTGTTCACTGTCTACAACATCCCGGCGCCCAAAACCGCGTTACTTAGTCGCTTGCATTTGATTTACAGCCGCCCCATCTCCCAAGCAAAAATTTCGTCCACCACTATTTATGTTTGCCTTTTAGCCGAGAACAAAACGACCCCCTTTTTCATACAAATCGTCTCTATATCGTGTCAAAAATTTTGCATACGACAACAATTTAATAAGTAATGTTGTAGACATTGTATGCTTACGTGATCAACGAAAGAAATCTAGACCAACTGAATTCATTAGTAAAATGAAACTTGTGAACACAAAAAACAAAAAAAAAACAACAGCTTTGTTCCAACGCAGAATTAGGACCGTTCTAAAACGGTTATTGGCATCGCCGGTATCGAATTTGTGTGCACGTGTCGACAGTTCTGTTACGATACCATTGGAACGGTTTGGGAATCGATTTTAGAATTCGCCCTGGCCGCTGAGGCGCCTTAAGCTGGAATCCAATTCATAACCTTAATTTTTGTTATTGTTATTCGTTAGATCTGGTTAGATCTAAGGGTTAGATAGATTTTTTTATACGATTTTTATTATCTAAGGAATTCAAAATGAGTAATATACCGTATGATCACAAAAAGAAACGGCGTTAGCGATGACTATGAAATGAAAATCGCTGTCATTTTTTATATGTAAAATTATATGGAGAATGGCATTGATCATCATTTCGAAGCCAACTGGACGCCGTTTTTCCTCGATCGTACGGTATTTACGTGCTTAAACTATATACTATAAGATACTTAATAAATTGGGAGGGAGATTTATTTATATTTGTACGTTTGAATCATTCGTTCAAATTATTTTCGCTGGTATCCAACAAAGACTAGACTCTAGTTCAAAAATAGAGAAATATTTAAAATAAATGCACGATAAGCATCAAATAAAACTTTAAGCTTCAAAACGTCGTCAAAAAAACAGATAAATAAACTGTCAAAATTAAAAAGAGAAATGGCTAAAGGAATTTAAAGTCCAGAATAAATCAATAATCTGCTGACACACTCTTAATGTGCAGGTCAGTCCCTATGATTCTTGCTTTCAGGCTGGTATCGAAATTACGGTTCCGGAATCGATCCACTAACGGTGACAACTCTTGTTGGAACGCAAAAGTTATCGTTCACTAAACGATTCTCTCGTGGTTGGAACGCTTTTTCTCTACTTGCACTGTGCAGAAGCGTTACCGTACCGAATACGGTTCTCTCCGTCATTGGAACGAAACTAATATAACCAATCCAGAAGAATAACTAACACTAATTCTTATTAATAGGTACCCTGTTCACTGTCTACAACATCCCGGCGCCCAAAACCGCGTTACTTAGTCGCTTGCATTTGATTTACAGCCGCCCCATCTCCCAAGCAAAAATTTCGTCCACCACTATTTATATTTGCCTTTTAGCCGAGAACAAAACGGCCCAAAGACCCCCTTTTTCATACAAATCGTCTCTATATGGTGCCAAAAATTTTGCATACGGTCCGGGCTCTCGGCCGGTAACGCAGGGACTCTCTCTCTACTCTTTCAAAATCGGTAAATCATGGGATATTTATGTCAGTTCGCGACCGCTAATTACCGACATAAATACATCAGCTGGGAAAAATATTCGGTCGCCCTACGGAGATGCCTATCGGAGGCCGGTCGTTTTTCAAACGGGTACCGATGGGACACTGGCGACGTTCTGGGTCTTGTTCGTGGTCGGGTGGACGATTTGTCATCGGGGAGGTCATCGCGGAGGGTTCCTCTTCTTCGGCTTGGTGGACTTTCTCTAAATTATTTTACGAAGGACTATTTTTTGGATTTTAATTTTTGGCGAACTTTGAAATGAAAAACTCGAAAGCATGACAGATAAAGGCTGCATCATATGAATTTTTGAAGTGAAATTTCTTTACGCGCGTTGGGAGCAAAAATTCAAGGCTGTGAGTCAAGTTGTAGTAAGTTGTAGCTTCTGAATAACGGTCTAGGTAAAGCATCTAGCTTATTTGCCAGCTCAGAATTAGAATTTAGAGTTAGTAACTCGTATTTTCATTGGAGGACACTGTCATATTTATTTCAAACCAATAATCAACGAGAATATTCGTATAATTTAACAAAATTACTGTAAATTACTATACAGGGTGGTCCGAACTATATTCCGGAAACTTCGGCAGCATATTCTGCTCTCTAATGAACCAAGACTTAAAGAGTGGGCCCAGAGATTAAAATGGCGGTATAAGATTTAGCGAAAATGTTATGAGTAAGAAAATACACTTGAAGTTGAAGAGATGAATGGAGAAGTTTCTGAATCCTACTAAATTTTTCAAAAATTTGAAACAAAATTTGCAAAGCACTTGTTACTAGTTGCCGACTCTTACACACTGGGAGATATCTGATTTCATCAAATCCTATCGGCAGTGAATGAGCAATGTGAATGTGTATCAATAGATAGTACACTCTTGCCATTAAATTGTTA